ACACACACACACACACACACACACACACACACACACACACACACACACACACACACACACAATCTGAGACCATCTTTGCAATGACTATAAGCAGACAGAGTAAAAACCAAAAGACTATGTTTTTAAAATGTAGATCTTGGCCCACTGTGGGGGCCGAGTGGATCTAGCCAAATGCCATGGACTCATTCCAAGAAGTTCTCCAGGCTTTCCAGGCTCCTTATCAGAAGTCTTTAAAGAAAACGGCTCTCCTGGTCTTTCCCTAGATGCTCACTTAGCTTAAGTCCACAGCCCTAAGGCTCAGGGGATATGAACCAGACAAAGGCCAAAGACAGAGCCAAGGTTCCCGAGACACAACTTCAGAGCCAGGTGAAACTGTCCGTAGAGCCCAAAGCTTCCACTCCCAGAGGCTCCATCCTCAGCCACTGACCCCAAACTGCTCTGAGTTCAAAGGATGATGGGAGGATTCAAAGGTGCTTCCCAAAACCCTGAGGCCCAGCAAGCAGATAGCCTTGTTTAACCAAGGCATCTTTAAACCCTAGATCAAAGGAAACCACCAACACTTTATCATTAGTGACATTTAATAAGACAGCATGCAGAGCCTGCTAAATCTCAAACGGGTGACAGACGAGGCCTGCCAGGCAGTGTGCCGCACGGCGAATCAACATGCTTGCTTTCATGTAGTGCCAGGTGAGGTCAGCTCTGGAAGAGCTTCCCCCCAAGAATCCTGGGCCAAGATTCACCCAGCAAGAAGCCTGGGCATCTCTGGGCCAACTCCCTCGGCAGGAGGTAGGACCACGGGGACCAAACAGGCCTGGCTGCATCAGGGCTGGGTGCCACAGCCATGTAGCATGGGCACGTTCCTAGGAGATGCCCAAGGGCTGGGGCCTCACTTCCAGAGTCGCAAGCCCAGAGAGGCTTTCCCAGGACACCCATCAAGGCCAGCTCCATTCATTAAAGTACCAGCAAAGGCAGGTTTGGGGGTTCTGCAATTCCTGCTGCAAACACCATGGCATTGGGCTCTCCCATTTTCAAAATGAAGATTTCCACCTGCAATCCCCATCCTGGAGGGCAGAAACCTGGAGGAAGTCAAACCAGGGAAAGGAAGAAGTGCACCCCTTCCCAGGCACAGTTGAGAGCCACAACCAGGTTTCCTGCTCTCCAGGTGCCCCTCTTGAGCCACCTGTCACCTCTGATGCTGACAACGGGTATCCAGAGGACACCTGAGCACTTTTGAGGATGCTGGGGACAGCAACACTTGGGTCAGCAAGTCAGGCCAGCAAGAGTGTGGAAAGAAGCCACTCCTCTCCTTCCAGGCCCAGACCAGGTGAGAAGGGCCCTTCAAATACCTGCTCCCACACCATCCACCCTGATGAGGCTGGCCGGGTCATTTCCCCTTATACCAAGAGCTCATCTCTCCAGTAAAATAACCTCCAGTGGAGAGGGCAGGAGCAGAGAGAGAAGGCAGACAGGAAAACTGCTTTAACAGAATCAGAACCACAGACTTAGAAGACCTGGGGGGTCCCTAGAGATGACTCAGTTCAGCAGCCTCATTTGATGGATAAAGACCCCTAGGGCACGAGGAGTGACTTAAGGGCCCACCGAGGACCACGCAGGAAGCCCCAGACAGGTGAAGGGTAAAGGTAGGTCCCCTGACTCTGAGCACCACCGCAGCAACCTCCTCCACACCTGCAGTCTGCGTGTATCAGTCTCTGTCGTTCTGGACGCACGTCTCAATGCACCCCACCCCAAACCTCGACTCTCCATCACGTGCAAAGTTCCCTAAAGGACCTTTCTCCATGCCCCTGCCAGACTCTTCCTAATGCAGCTTCCACCCTCATTCCTTCCCTGCCTCTTCAGGACCACATTTAAATCTGCATGCAGATGGGCGTGTTGGTAGGAGATCGGGGAGATGGATTGGAAGAACGCCCTGCTTCAAGATCAGGAGCTCACCCAGCCACATCCCGGAGCAATAGAAATTTCCTACTCAGGACCCCAGGCCTCCTAACATGAGCCATGTACCTAATTCAATAATCCAGACACGACACTGTCTGTGGGTCCTGGAGTCGCTGTTGTTTACATTTACATCCCAGGGCACGGAGCTCATCTGCTTGGCTCAGCACACCTCAGAAACTGTCAGCCCTCCGCTCCCGGGATTCCTCATTCCTGACCCTCCCAATACTTAGTCCTGTTTAAATGCCCTCTCTGGTTCCACCGTGTGAAGTGTATCACTTGATTCTCCTGTTTCCTAGCTTCCCCCACCTCCAGAAAAACAAAACAAACAAAAAATGCTTCTGGTTCCTTCAGCAGACACAGACATTCTCCAAGCCACGAGTCACCCTGCTCCAAATTCACTCATCTCAGGCCTGCAGACCCCACAGGAGCCGCGCACTACATTGCCGCATTATCTGTCCTTCCTTAAAGCCGTATTAATAAAGTGGGTGTGGTGTTCCAGCCACTCCTCTGCCCAAGATGCGTAGTTCAGACACCTGAGTGGCTTGATGACTGGCCCCGTCGCCGGCCCCTGCAATCCTCCAGCTTTTGAGTGCGCCTGGCCCACTCCTGTGGTTCGGTCCTGGGCTTGGGTTCACGCTGGTCTTTTCCAGTTCCTTCAAGGCCCAGTTCCCATCTGCTCCATCGTTCCACGCAGCTGTGTATGACGCAGCCCCGCAAGGTCATGTTAGCATTCAGAACAAGAAGCGAATGTGTCTCAAATCATGCTCCCGTCTACCCTGTTTGGGGAGTTACGTGGCCCATCAAGCCTCCCCTTTATCCCTGCAACCAGGAAGCTCGGAGCTCACAGCGTGGCTGCATCTGCTCCCTCCTCCTTTCTAAGGCTGGCCCTCCTCATTATTATGTGTATAGCTTCATCTTCAGTCGCCTCCATCAGTTTGTATAGGCCGGCCACAGGATGTATTTTTTGAAGTAAGCAGAAGAGAAAAGCCCACCTTCTTCACAGAGCTTTCCCTGAGCCCTGCAGCTAGCTCTGGGATCAGGCCCTTCTGTGAACTCCAGGAGCGCCTGTTCTGCAAACCAAAGAAGTGCTTCCCCTTGTGCGTGCACAGGGCCCCAGCTCTCCCTCCCCATTTCTTGTCTCTCTGTGCCCCTGGCCCTGGCCCTGCTTCCTTCTGAAGAGGTGGTTTGTACCCAAAGCCTCTACTTCTGCTGCCAGGAGTGGGCCCACTGCGGCCCATCTTCCATCACACACACACACACACACACACACACACACACGCACACGCACACACACACACACACAAGCACACACACGTATACACACTCTGTGAGACACCACAGCTTGGTCACCTCCTCCCTCTGAAACCTCTTTCTCTTCTAGTCTCATATCCCACTTCCTTTGCCCCTCCCTTAAGCACTGGTGTTTCCAGTAGATTTCTGCCTCCACCATCTGCTCCAAACCTTCACCTATCACTTCAACACTGATAATGCCCAAATCTGCAGGCATCTCCAGCCTAGACTCCCTCCTGAGCTCTACCAACCCCTCTTAGGCCATCTCATTTACTTCCATGGCTTTAATCACCAACAAAGTACCCAATAGCTCCCAAACCCATCTCTTCTTTCCAGCCTCATTACTGAGATCAAGATCCACAAGTCCAAGTGCCCCCTAGATGTCGCTGTGAAGGTGGCAGCTGTCCCCCAACCCCATCAAATGCTGCATGTCCAATACCACCCCCCTGAATGGCTCCATCTCCCTAGAGTTACTCAACCAGGAAACTTCCAGACACCATCCATTTATCCATTCAAGTAACCTAATGGAATGTTCACCACGTGCCAGGGTCTACATGCAGGACAGGGCATGGAGTAAACAAAACCAAAACAGTTCTTGCCACCAGGGTTCTATCTCCAGGTGACTTTCAGCCAGCCACCTACTCCTATCAAGGCTACCTCTCAATCTCCTCTGAAATAACCCAGTTTTCTCCATACCCACAGTCACTATTTTAGTCTGGAGCACTAAATAATACTGGAAAGCAAGCAGTTTAGCTGGAAACCCCCTCCGAAAGCTATGACTATGTGACCTTCGACAAGCTACTTGCTCTGTAACTTGCCAGTTGTTTCATCTTTCAGTCTTTCCCTCATTTTGGTAGAGACTGAATCTTGCTATGTTGTACAGCCTGGTCTCAACTCCTGGCCTCAAGTGATCCTCCTGCCTCAGTCTCCTGAGTCACTTGGATTATAGGCATGAGCCACTGCACCCAAAAGTCCCTTATCCCAAGGCTCTAGGAGTCTATGGTTTTAAATTACAAGCTCTGTGGGTTGCTCATTTTGGTTTCTGAAGCTGAGCACAGAGTAAGCAAAAGATAAACCTGTTCTGAGTGAACGAATGAACAAATGAATGAATAAAGAAGTAGATGGATGGATGAATGAATGAAATGGACAATTCATTTTGCACATGTCCAAGTCAGTTTTGCCCTTTCTGACACCCTTTCTGCTGGACTCAGGGTCATAATTCAATGCACCTCAAAGAATGAAGAGAAAGGAAAGCACAGCCTGGCGACGTGAGCCCCCTCCTGCCAGCACCCCCGGGGCTGCCACAGCGCTCACCGGCACAGGTGGTCAGTCCGGCACACACCACGCAGGTCCAGGCAGTTGGGCTTCTCCTTGTCCTCGTAGGAGCAGCTGGGCAGGATGGTTTGCCGGCGGCGCTCGGCACACGCCAGGTCTTGGCAGGAGCAGAAGAGCATGCGGTAGGTGAACTCGCTGGGCACCCGGTCGAAGAACTGGCGCAGGGCCTTGTGGCACTTGCGGCGATTGCAGCGCTCGGTGGGCGAGATCTCGCGGTTGCAGATGGAAATGTAGGAGGAGCGCAGCTTCTTGCAGTTGTCATTCAGGTTGCAGGCCTTGGCAGCATCCAGGCAATGGTTGCTCTTGGCGCTGACCACTGGGTCTGCCCCTGTCCCTAGAGAAGGAACACGACTGCAGGTCAGAGGCCACACGGGCATAAGGAAGATGCAGCTGCCCCCTCGCTGGGAGGTGTCTCCCAGTACTCAATATGCTTCCATATACCCATTCTGTGCCTCAGTTTCCCCATCTGTGAAATGGGGATCACTTCACAGGACCTATCTCCTAAAGCTGTGGTTAGGAGTTTAATTAATTAATTCAAGGAGTTAATAGACAGGTTGAGGGAGTGCCTAGGAAACGCCTGGTGCAGGGCGAGCTGTACCATGGCGATCTAGGGCAACGGTGGCCTTAAAACTCATCACAAGCCTAAAAGGCAAGCAACTAGATGTGTAAGGCCCTGTTTACAAATATGGGAAATAAAGTGACTGGCTCAGGACCATACAACGATGGGGATCCTGTGCACCCACCAGCAGGACCCTGGCACTTGGGGTCAGAGGATGCTCATGATGCGATCTTCAGCAGCCTGGGTGCAGACAGCACACACATGACCTCCCGAGTCATTCTGGTGAGAGCCAGATGGGAGATCCCCTAACCCAGCCTTGTTATCTTACAGATAAGGAAACTGAAGCACCAACCGGGCAAGGGGCCTGCCCAAGGTTGCCCAGCACAGGTACCCGAGTCACACCCAATAGCACAGTTATGCCAGTGAGAACCATCAGCGTTCCTCATCCATTCTTCATCCGCCCCAAATGCTTCCCAGTATTTCCTGAGCACCACTCTCTCCATGCCAGACCCAGGTGGGTGGTGGGAAAGACTGGGGGTGAGGGAGGCTGAGGCCACACGTCCCTTTCATGTGGGCCCAGTGACTGAGCACTTCCAGCACACAGTTCCTACTGTTCTAATCACTTGGCCATTAAAGACGGATGAGGTCCTACCTCTGCACAGCCCCCTGCTGGGTGCCATGTTGGATATAAAAGGGCAAGAGGAGGGGCCACTCTGGAAGAGCTCACAACTCCAGCCAGGAAACCAAGAGGCAGAAGAGCACACAAGCCAAAACTGAGCATTCTAGAACTCAGCCATCAGCATTCAACTCCTGGACCTGATACTCACTGGCTGCATGACCTGGGACAAATGGCTGAACCTTTGCTTCAGTTTCCTTATCTGCAAATTAGTACCTACCACATAGGGTCTTTGTGAGCATGAATGCAATAGCTCATTTTTTTCTGTCTCCCCTACATCATAATTTTGCTGTCTTCTAGACCACTCCCATCAGGTATTACATCACCATCTTCAATTAAAAAAGGACGTCCTTGTGACCACACACACCTCTCAAGCTACCACCCCATTTTTCTGCTCCCCTTTAAAGCAAAACCCCTCAATCGAGTTGTCTATGCCAGCTGCCCCTTGCTCTCCTCCTGTTCTCCCTTGGACCCGCTTCAGCCTGGCGTTTGGCCTCATCTGATGGATGCTCAGGAATCTACCGGCCTCATCTTCCTCAGCCCATCAGCAGCACTAGACACAGCCCATTCCTCTCCTGTGCCTCCCACTCTCTGCAGGGCTCCCTGCTGCCTCTCCAGTCTCCTGCTCAGGCTGCTTTGCTGTCCCCATCATCTTCTATATCCAGGGCTCAGCCTCCTTTTCTCTACATGCACCTGCTCCCTGGAACTCGTGGCTCATCTCATGGCCTGAAACATCATCACTGCACGTCCAACTCCCAGATTTAAACCCCCAGATGAGACCTCTGCCCTAAGCCCCAGACTCATCTGTCCACCTGCCAACTCAACACCTCTTGCTGCAAGCCTAATACCTGAATCTCATGCTAACACATCCAAAACATCCAAACCCAAACCCAGATTTCCCCTCAAAACCTGGGGATTCTCTCCACCTCTGACAGTCTTCCTTATCCTGCTGGAAACATTACCGCATCCTTCCAGCAGCCCACGCCAAGACTCCCAGTGCTTCCTTGACTCCTCTCATATTCACACGCCCTGGCAGCTCTACCTTTGAAACACAGCCAGAATCCAGCCACTTCTCACCACCGCCTCTGCTGCCACCTGGGTCCGAACCACTGACACTGTGCCTGTTCAGAGCCTTCTTCCCCAGCCTCCTGCTCTGCCCTCTGCCCGCATACCCCACCTCATGACAATCTCTCATCACAGCAGCTGGAGAGAACCTTCTAGAACCTAAGGCAGAGAGCCATTGCTCTCAGGCTCCAAAGCCCCCCATGGATTCCCCATCTCATTCCGGGGGCCTTAGCATGGCCTGCACAGCTCTATGTGTGTGCTGTCCGATTTGCTACGGCAGGACAATTTGTGCTGTCTGAACTGCTGTCCACTCACCACACATGGCCGTGGAACCTGAAATGTGGGTAGGGCATTTCACATGTTTACACAAGGCCTTGAAACACACACCAGATTTTGAAAATGTGATAAGAAAAAAATAATGTAGGCTGGGCATGGGGCTCATGCCTATAATCCCAGCACTTTGGGAGGCCAGGGCAAGCAGATCACTTGAGGTAAGGAGTTTGAGGCCAGCCTGGCCAACATGGTAAAACCCCATCTCTACTAAAAATACAAAAATTAGCTGGGCGTGGTGACACATGGTAGACTTCAACCAGCTACACAGGAGGCTGAGGCAGGAGAGTCACTTGAACCCGGGACGCAGAGGTTGCAGGGAACCAAGATGGTACCATTGCACTCCAGCTGGGGCAACAAAGGGAGACTCTGTCTCAAAAAAAAAAAAAAAAGAAAGAAAAGAAAAAGATAATGTAAAGTATCTCATTAATAATTTTTTTAAATTTGGGATCTATGATGTTAAACAAATGTAGTAATAAAAATAATTTCACCTGTTTCTTTTTTCTTTGTGATTACAAGCAAACGCAGAATTATATACATGATGCATATTACATTTCCATCAGCCAGCACAGCTGTATATGGCCTCATCTCCTATTCCTTTCTCCTGGCTCATTTCACTCGAATCCAGCCACCCCAGCCTCCTCGCCCTTCCTGGAACACACCCATCACGGCCTGGCCTCTTGGCCTGGAGGTCTCTCCCTCCCCACCACAGCCACACGACCACTCTCCTCATCTACTTCAAGACTCTGCTCAAATGTTACCTAGTATGCGAGTCCTTCCTAACCTCCCCACACGTAGTAACAATGCCCCATGCACCTTCCATGTACCCCCTACTCTGACCTATTTTTCCCATGCCACTCATCGCCATCTGCCATGGTATGTACTCACGTACTCATTTGTTTGTTTCTATCAAATACAAGTTCCAGAAAGGCAGGACTGTGCTCAGCGCTACAGCCCAAGGAGCCAGTGTTTGACACGCAGGTGCTATGCAATAGGTATTTAAGGGGTGATGGAATAAATGTATTTAGGCCAGTGTCTGTTTTACAGTAAGTGCTCAAAAAATGTTGAACAATAGTAAGCAAGCAAAATGACGCAGAGTAGGCAAGAGTGATCAATATAGGACCATGTGAGGCCCGGCCCAGCCCTGAAACTTGGGGGATGATCAACGAAGATAGAGCCACTCACCCCAATACCTTGTCTAGCCAACAACAGCCCCCTTTTTTTTGAGTCTGAGTTTTGCTCTTGTTGCCCAGGCTGCAGTGCGATGGCACCATCTCAGCTCACTGCAACCTCTGCCTCCTGGTTTCAGGCAATTCTCCTGTCTCAGCCTCCTAAGTGGCTGGAATTAAAGGCACCTGTCACTACACCCAGATAATTTTTGTATTTTCAGGAGAGACAAGGTTTCGCCATGTTGGCCAACTGGTCTCAAACTCATGATCTCAGGTGATCCACCCGCCTCGGCCTCCCAAAGTGCTGGGATTGCAGGTATGAGCCACCGTGCCTGACCAACAATAGCCCTTTAAAGGCAGAAACAGAAAAGTGCCCTCTCTTTTTGTTGTAAAAATAAAAGAGGGAGGGTACATCCAGACAATGGAATATTATTCTGTGATAAAAGGAAATAAGCTATCAAGTCATGAAAGGATGTAGAGAAAGCTTACATGAAAGGAGACACATCACACCCTATGATTCTAACAGTATGACACTCTGAAAAAGGGAAAACAGTGAGATCAGTGGCTGCCAGGAGTCAGTGGGGAGTCGGGGAGGAAGAGGCAGAGCATGGAGGATTTTTAGGGCACTGAAACTGCTCTGGACGCCATTGGATGTTTGTCCAAACCCGTGGAACGTACAAGAGTTGTACATTGTATCAGGCTTTGCCTACTAATGATGTGTCAGTGTAGGCTCAAGAACTGTAACAAATGCATCCCTCTGCGGAGGGATGCTGACAGTGGGGGAGGCCGTGCCTGGGGAAGAGTAGGGGGTAGATGAGAACTCTCTGTACCTTCCTCTCAATTTGGCTATGAACCTAAAGCCACTCTTAAAAAATAATAAGCCTTTTACTAAAAAAAAAAAAAAAAAAAAAAGGAAGCTAAGGGAAATTAAGGCCGAAAAAGAATCCAGGTTTGTTTTCCTATTCAATCCATTAATATATCTTTATTGAGGACCTATTATGTGCCAGGCACTTCCCCAGACACTGAGGCTGCAACCCTGCCTGAGACACAGCTAGGGACAGAGAAGTAACCATGCCGATGTTGAGTTCTGTGTCAGGGAAGTCAGGGTGCAGAGAGAAAAGCATCCTGTCCAGATTTTGGGGGGTCCTGGAAGCACTGACATCTCTGCTAAAACCTGCAGGAGGACTCAGAGGAAGCAAAGACAGCAGAAAAAGGGTCCCATGCAGAAACGGGAGCAGGGGCAACCACCAGGAGGAACTGCAGCAATTCAATACGACTGTACATGGATGTCAAGGCAAGGATAGCCAAGACAGGGGCCTTCAGCCACGTGGGGTTGAGTGGCCTCTCGGGCAGTTCCTTAAGTTGCTACCAAACCATTCTTCCCAGTATAGAAGGACCCCAGAATGCCTGTTAACACAAGGACTATTGTGGGGACACTGTCTCTAAAGGACAAGTTCTCCCAGGCCAGCAGTGGAGCAGAGGCAACAGGAGGGACCCCAGAGAGGAGGTTAGCAACTGCAAGGGGAAAGGCAGCT